TAACCTTTGACACTTGTCTTTAAAAAAATAAATGATTTCTTTCCAAACGTTTTATGTTATTTGAATATATTTCTCCCACTTAACATAAAAAGGATCTCCTTCGGGATTTCATCATGACATTTGTATGATGAGTCTTGGCTTTCAACCTATTGAATCAAATATTTTTTTGAATGAAATTACATTCTTGTAAATATCTTTAAAATTTTTTTTGAATAATTTAACTTGCTTTGATGAAAATTGTTCAAATAAATGACCTAATCCATGAAAGTCAAAATAAGTGAAAGTTGAGTCTTCTAAAAACAAAATCAAATCAAATTAACTTCATTTTTATCCAACACAAGAAAGACATTATCCGAGTTATGGCTAAAATTCATTAGAGCAATTATTTCAACTTCATTTCTCTTATTCTTGTTTTTCTAAACATAAGATGATTCACTCTCTTTTACCTTTCAAAATAACCTCAATTTTCATAAATATGATCAGTCCCTATAAAGTTTTTTCTTTGGTCTTATGTATGATCCCGTGATTAACATCATTCATAAAATGTAATGATGCATCAAATTGGTAACGATAGCATGATAAGAGTTTTGCTTAGACTTGGTAGACAAGAAGGCTTCCTTTATGAAACTTATCTTAAGATCTTTCTTGATTAATTAATGATAGTGGTGATAAAAAGCTATCTTAACAAATTTTGGGTCGATTTTTTTGTATATGCCGACAAAAGCCCAAACACTTCGAGGGTGATACTTTAGGGGCAAAGAAAAACTATGGGTTAAAGTCTCTAAATTTCAAACCAAGGTAACTTACAATGAGAGAGACTCCATATAAGTGATTATCAAGAAGGAACAAATATTAAGGGGAAGGTTTGTCAAACATGAAAACAAAAGAGGCCTATTTCGAGTTTCTAAGAGAATGGATGAGTACACGTACAAAGATCGATCTACATAGAGATTACTTAGTCTCATATACTTTCAAGGAGAAAGATCTTTTGTTATGCTTTGGAGAAGAAGATAAGGACTATGGCATCGAGATCAACTCTTCTTCAACCTAGAGAGTATGATGTGAGAGCATCCACCCTCCCATTTGGCGGAAAGTTTGGAACCCTTAAGTGGTCGAAACTTTCACTCTATCCTTTTTTATTGTCTTTTATTTATTTGGATTATCTTTTAATTATTTGGATTACATTTTAATTAGTTTGGTTAATTTTACTAGTAAAGACTTGGGCTAAAATTAATTAGACCTTATGATTTGTGGGTTTTCATATTGAAGTAGGACATGGCCAAATGTGGCCTAAGTGGATGAATGATCTTTTTATGTTGTGGATCCTTATTTGTTAAGGATTCCTTATTTAATTTGGAGTCTATGTAATATGTGGATCCAAATTTAATATGACTAAATGAATAAATTTCTAATTGAATATGGATGACATGAGTCCGAACCTAGATAGGAAAAGAGTCCATTTAGCAAAGGAAAGAAACTCACCTTAGCCGACTTAGTTTAGGACTTTGTTGTGTGATTAGTTAAGAATACTTTTATGCTACTTTTTGTTCAGTTTTAATGAATATTTAAATTAAACTTCGGAGGATTCGTGTAAATTTTGTGTGTCTCCTTTGCTTGGATTGGTTAGAAAGTTGTGAACACATCCTTAGATTGATTGACTAAAGTGAGCTTAGATCAAAATTATGTCGGTGGGCTCTTGATGAACGTATCTCATAAATACTCTCGAATCAATTAGGTAATGGATCTTTGCTTAGAGATGAGACATTGAGATTTGCTTTACTTTATTTGTTTTGTTGCTTGATTAATTGCAAGTCTAGTTGAAATTCCAAATTGAATAGTTTTGGTCTTCACGCTAAAAACCAAGGCTAGGAATTTTAGTTTGATCTAAAATTTTGACAATAGCTATTTAAGGGGTTTTTTTCGCTCCAATAAAAATATTTGATAGGGTTTTGGAGTGTCAAAATCATTGCAAATTTTGCAACCTACTTTATCTAGAATTTTGACTAGTTAAAAACCAAGTTTTTAGAGCTTAGATTGACTTGAAATTTGACATGCATGTACTTCTAGGTAGTATCTAGGTTGTGTAAAAATTTCAATAAATTTATGCTGATTTTCTTGGAGATCACCCCTCCCTAATATTCGGATTTTGTGAGTTTGTGGTTTGGCAATTGTGGGTTTTGTTTGTGTCTGTGTCGAGGGTTTTGTTGATTGTGATTTGACCTATTGATTGTGTGAATTTGAGGTCTAATTGAAGTCTATTTAAGGCTGGGTTTGCACCTTAGATATTTCTACCTAGGACTTTGTCGGTTGTTTATGTTGTTGATTTATCCACAGGACTTGGTATCTCTCAATCCGACACCAGCAAACTAGCTAGGCAATGCAAACTCTATTTTACACTCACACTAAATAATCACCTTAATTATTTTTATGTAACTCCATCCTGTACTAGGTTGGATACGAAAATTTCACCACAAATTTATTAGTTAGAACATATATATATAAAGATTGAATATCATGTTAAGGCAACATAGCATATTTTTTGGATTTACTTATCAATGAATTTTCGTTCGTGTAGTCTCACTTTGATAATGGCCTCCGAACGACATTAGCAACGAGGGAGCCTTTTTTAGAATAGCAATCGGCAAACTAGCAGCGAACAAGGCGTGATTTTCACGTACTGGAATACCGCAGTGGACCCTATTATAATTAACCATTTTTTTCCCTACAATCTTTTTATAAAATTTAATAAGGCGTACTCTCTTTCAATTTGGTGCCTCTATGCTATGCATTATTATTTTAGCTGTTTAATTTCTTTGTCGGCTAGGTAATGAATTAGTAAAAAAATAAAAAATAAAAAAAACATATTATTAAATCATTACCGGCATACACCTTGAACCACTAAAAAAAATGTAAAGACCTTTATATTATATTTTAACATAGGAAACTAGAGTCATTATATTAGCATTGTTTGCGTACGTACGAGCCCTCTATCTATTTATATATTGTCTTCTCCTTCGTTTTTTTCTAGCTTATACTAATTAAATATCCATGCTATATTGAGATCAAACAATCATTATATATATAGGATTAACGATTCGTATGATAAAATATGAATAAAAATTTATTTCGATGGTTAATATAAATCGAATTTATATATTGAGCGAAATTGTTTGATTTATATATATTTATTAGCAAAATATTTAATAATATTAGCATAAAAATTTGTATTTGAATAATTGGGAGGTTCTTTCAAAACAAGTATCTAACTTATTTTATTTTTTAAAAAAAATTAGAATATGAAAAAATAAATAAATAATAATTGATATTATATTTGCAGATATATAGTTAATTTCTAACAAAATTAATTAATTAATTAATTAATTATACACACACACATTCTTAACCAATTCAGAATATATAGAATAAATATAAAAATATACAAAAAAATCCACCTAAATTGTATGATATATATATATATATATATATATATATATATATATATATATAAACAAATAAAATTTGTGAATTTTATTAGCTAATTATAATTTTTTTTAAAAAAAAATTGAGTTAAACTATCTAAAACATACTTTTAGCTCTCTCTCATATATATATATATAATCAGAATTTAAAAAATAAAACACCGAAGTTTCAAAATTTTATTCCAAAATTCATATATTAAAAAACTAAATTTATTAACAAATAAAATTATATCAAAAAATTAATTTGATGAGAATTTTAATAAGAAACAAATAATTGAAGAAATAAATTTTAAACAATAAGAGTAATATAATCGGATATATATTTTCAAACCAAAATCTTAAAAAATATTATATATATTCTATCATTTTTAAAGTGTATGTAAAATTTAAAAAAAATAACGATTTATTTTTATATATTTTTTACTCCTAATTTCTTATATATATAAGAAAAAAACAAAAGAACAAAAAAGAAGAAGGAAGGATGAAGGCTAGGCTGGTGCTGGTTGGGTTGAACAGCAGCCAGACCTGACTGCTATTCAACACCCAAAAAAAAAAAAAAATCAAACCGAAGAACTGGGATACAATAAATGAATAATGATTACTGTTCATTTATCCCAATTCTTTTAGTTTTTTATTTATAGGTAATATAGTAAGCACCAACCTCCATACAAATAATTTGAATTTCTTCATTCTCTATTTTTTTCAGTGGCACATAAAAAAAAATTGACGGTTAGGAAAGTTTATACAAAGTCAAGCATGGATTAATCGAAATCTTAAAGATCGACCTGATGGTTAAGAAAAAATTGTTCATTTTTTTATCTTTTTGAGTTCAAATATTAAGACTAGCACTTTGAAAATTTTTAAAAAAATTTTCTAATATACAAGGCCGACTTGGAAAATATACCCTTAAGTTTGCTTGGAAAAAAAAATTAGATCGATTGACACTCAAATTGGTCTAAAAACCCCCTTAGCGTGGTACAAAAAACAAATATAAATAGATTAATTGGCTTATTCTATATAGCAGTACTTTTTTAGGAGGGTTAAGCATTAGCTTGGCCTTGCTTATTCCTCTAGAAAGAAGTTGGATACCTAAAAGTCATATCTGTAGGCCGACCTAGGGATTAATACGACTTAGCCTACCTAGGCTAATGCACTCTCTTGATCGAACGCTCGACGTTTCGCTCATAAAATTGTAAACCAATTCAAATCCATGTGGAGGTCGGCTCTACTATCACCCCCGCTGGCTAGGTTTGTCCAGATTTGAATACAGTAGATGGGAGTATAAGGAGAGTAATTTTTTCGGCTTATCCAGCATCCCATACTCTGCTTAAGCTATAGGGTTTCAGAAAAAGTTCAACTGGAAATTGTCATGCTATCCTTTTCCCCTTGCTGCATAACCTCCTATCTCAAAACTCATGTGAAAACATTGGTGTTTAATTTAATTTGAACATTTTATTGCCACGTTACATTGATCCTTCATATATAAAAACAATGCAGGTAGATAGTTTCAGGACTGCAGAGTCACATTACATTTATTAATACATCGTTAGGCATAGTAGGCGTTGGAACATATACAAGATTGTCTTCTGGGAAGAAATGGCACACATTGGATGACCCTGGTTCAATTCCAAGTACTTTAAACGACACGTGATTACGACTCCACTGTGAGGTATCCAAGTGGCAAACGGCAAGAGCTTCTACCCTATCTCCATTCTCACCAATCAGTGAGACCACAAACACCTTGTTCTGAGTCTCTTGGCTATGGCAATAGAAAACTGCGTAAGGATAAGGCATAGTATGACATGCTACCATCTTTGGAGCTGGTACTTCTTTAGGAACTTCTAGGATAGTATAATTTTGGAACAGGATACTAGATTTTGTGAGATAGGTAGTGCTTACAACTTCTAGTTGAGACTCCAAGCCAAATATCCCTTGTACAAAACCAAGCATGGATTTTAAGGACGTAGCACAAAATTTGGTCTCTCCTTTAATGGGTTTAATCTCGCAACCTTTAAGTGTATCTTCCATAGCTTTGGCTTGGGGAGACCCTTTAGAGAACGAGAAGAGTTGAAGAAGATATGGAAGCTTTTCATATGAGAAAGGAATTGAATCCGCGTCTTCTCTAGACAACAAACTAGGAGATTTTGAAGGGTCCTTCTTAGGAAAATAAATGGGCATTGTTCTTCCCACTTTTAGATCATTCAAGGTGAAAAACACTAACAGTGAATGATCCATGTGATCCATATGGGATGATGGATGAGCATGAGTATGTTCTCCATGCGTCCCATCACCAGGAGAGTCATCCCTGGCTCTTTCACTTCCATCAACACACTGCAATAACATATGTTTCAAGTAATTAACAACTTAGAGAAACAAAGAAAAAACAAGAATCAACCTTCATCATTTCCTTTACGAAACACACAATTTAAGCTTCAACAGAAATATTTTCATTGGCCAAAACAAAGACAAACTGAATAAGTAACACGCCACACACACACATACACACACACACACATAAGCGTATAGCAAAATGCACCAAGCTAGTACGGTCTTGAGAGTACCATAACAACTAGAAGATAAAGGAGGAAGATCTTAGATGCAAATTCTGCGCCCATCTTTCGGTGTTTCTCCTGAAGAAATTAACTCCTCCGAAATTATCAAGATATCTTCTTCTGGCTAGATTGAGAGAACTGGTGTCAAAATAAACCTGTATGCGTAAGGATGCAAAGTGCTGTTTAAAAATGAAATTTCAATCGAATTTACTAAGGAAAATTCAGAACATGTGTAATATTTCTCAAAGAAATGATTTTCTTTTCTCTGGTAAAATTAAAACAAGCCAGTTTAAAGTCTGAATGATAAATTGATTCGGCTGGGAGACACTCATATCAGGGGTGGGTCATGCGAATCGGCTATTTTAATTAGTTTAATTAGCAACTAATGAATGGGCTCATTTTCATGCAAAGTACTTAATAATCTGCTTCGGGCAAGATGTTTAATTCATTTTGGGAAGTACTCAATAATTCTGCTTGGGTCCTTTTTGTTGGAAATTCAACTAGAAAAATGATTGAGAAGATGATTAATTATTTATTTTGGAAGTACTTAATAATTCTGCTTGGGTCGAAGGTGTTTAATTCATTTTGGAAGTACTCAATAATTCTGCTTGGGTCCTTCGTTTTGTTGGAAATTCAACAAGAAAAATGATTGAGAAGATGAATAATTATTTATTTTGGAAGTACTTAATAATTCTGCTTGGGTCGAAGGTGTTTAATTCTTTTTGGAAGTACTAGCTCAATAATTCTGCTTGGGTCCTTCTTTTAACAAGATAAATGATTGAGAAGATGATTAATTATTTATTTTGGAAGTACTTAATAATTCTGCTTGGGTCCATGGTGTTTAATTCATTTTGGAAGTACTTAATAATTCTGCTTGGGTCCATGGTGTTTAATTCATTTTGGAAGTACATAATAATTTTGCTTAGGTCCCTCTTTTTGTTGGAAGTTCAATTCCATTCTGTATCAATTAGATTTTTTTCAAAAAAAAAAAAAATCAAATACATACAACAATTAAAAATATAAAATAATCAATTATAATAGCACAATTACAAAAATACTAAACTTACTTGAACACCAACTCTATCATAGAGAGAAAAACTACAAGACTAATTTCGAAATCCACTATAAAAAAAACAATACAAAAAAACTTAAATAATTGTATTGTTTTTTAAAAAAACTTGAAAAACAAAAATATTAGCAATAATATAATTAAGTTACCTCTCTAACTAAATTTGTCTCATCACGAAAATTTAGAATCTGCAAAATCTTCAAGTTAATTTATGAAAAGTCTAATATTGTATGAGATTACCACTATAAACAATATAATTTTTTATGATTGTAGTATCCAAAAACCAATATAAGAAAAATCTTCAATATTTTGTGCATAAATAATTATTGGCGTAGTTATTATAGAAATCTACAAAATCAAAGAAAAAGAACATTTTTTCCTTTTCCTCTCTTGTTGTTCTCCCTTGAGGCATCACACCAAAAAGAAAGACTAACGCTTTCTTAATTATATTATATAAATGTCAACTCTAACAAGGAAAAATAACAATACTCTTTTATTTTTCTTTTCCACGGCTGCACACATAGACCTTTTGGTCCTTCCTTCTTCTTCTTTTTCACTTCAATCTTTTTCTTAATTTATTTTTTCATGAGTTATGTTAAGATTACTTATAGACTAGACCTATAATATACACCTAACAAATCTCCTCTCTCTCTCATTCATAAAGAGAAAAATCCCAACTCATCATTTAGTGTTCATGTCCGCCTTACCGGCACACAATCTATTATTCTTGTACACTCGTCAATTGTATCGACATAATAAGAAAACCCTTAGGCTTGTTATCTAGGAACTTGTTCGAAACACTATAATGAAAGGAAAGGAGTTTATCCAATCGAAGGAATCTTTTGATCCATCCAAAGATCATTTTGCTTCCGTTATTAATGAGAATTCAAAATATCACACGATAATCAATCAAAGAGATATTCAACAACTAAAAGAAAGATTGATTCTCTTAGATCCTTCATTTCTTCAAACAGAACAAACAAATATAGAATTAGAATGATTCCCTAAGTACCTTTTTGGATATTCCTCTTAATAAATATAGGTAGACAGAGCTAACACTTAATCGGTAGTAGGATCAACCTTTCATCGACAAACTTGATGCCAAAAACAAGCTCATCTAAAAGAAAGGACTAGTATGAGGCAGGATATGAATTGCGAATCGAGGTCGATTTTACTAGCATAAAATCTAACTGCAAGTAGATAGACCTAGAATTGTTATGGTAATCAAGCTTCGAGCATAAGCATGGGTTCTAATATATGAGATCTCATAGCACTTATTAATGAGGCCCTAGAGATTAGTATTACATAGAAAAAATTAATTCTAGGTACTAATATAATTCAATATATTCTTCCTAGACAAACTTACGATTTTTGATCCCGGATAAGATCGGTTCAGGATCATGGACTTATTCCAATTCTAAGACCTTAAAATCGAATCGGTATATCAACATCAAATTGATCCAAGATCTCTTACTAAATTGATCATTCAATGAGCATTATTAAAAAAACAAAAAAAGAATAAATCAATAAAAAAAAATTTAGTATTAATTGGGAACTTAAGTAAGAAGTGGTTTCTTTTGGGGTTTTATCCATTTTGAAAGCAACTCGTTATTTTATCTTTATTTGGTGTAACTATTTAAGCTGGATGAAAAAAAAAACTTTTACGTTTGATTTTGAGGCATTTGAGCCATTCGGAAGGATTTAAGTCAAGATTTAAATCCAATAAGCAAATTAAGCAACCCAACCTCTAAACAAAAGATATAAAAGTAAGAAAAAGAAAAATACAACAAGTTCAAATTTTAGGTCAAATTTCACCCACCAAACTATAAAAATAAAAATTACAAATTTTAAAAAAATATATATGAACAAAAAATCCAAAGAAATAAGGATATGGGTGTTGAGTCCATATCTATTAGTGTAGATGCCCAATATCCAACCTTGTTTGGATTGTTTGACTTATTGTAATATTGTATTCTTTATTTTATTAATAACGAAGTCTTTCTATTAATTCTTTTCGTTTATATTTTGATAAAATTAGATAGAAGTTCATATGATATGCATTGCATTAATGATTGATTGAAAGATGTGAGATAAACATTAATGCACTTAGATGATATCATTAAATATCCTAAGTCATAGGATTGTTAATAATGGATATTGACTATATGCGATAAGACTTATGAGTGCTATACTCATACTATAAGAAAGTAATAGGAGATTTCACATCTATTGGCATGATGATGCCAAAGCAAGCACTTAGGTAATTAATGTTAGAGAATATATCATTGGATGTGACTTGCCATAAGAACCTATTTGATTTAGTCTATGAGAATCTTATGACGAGATGGGTACAACTAGTCATTTGGCTTAAAGTCATCATGTTTATCTTATTAAAGAATTTATGTATTTTAACACTTGTTTTAATGAGCTCGATCAAGAGCTGTACACGGATAATTTGTTGAGTTCATTAAGAATCTAATAAAGATAGGTAGATGATTAAGATAGAATATGTCATTTCTTATATGCTAAAAGAGTTATCACATTGCACTCGATAAATGTCTATTCAAAAAATTTATAACCACGAGTAAGAGTATACCAAAAGAGCATCGTCAATTTACTCTAGAGCTAAGACATTTGAAAATCGAATAAAACTTATATAATCTTAATCAAACAAACTATAAATCAAGTCCGAGATCACATTGTGATAAATTGATATGAGGACCGAACCGTATGGTAACCATGCTCGTGAAAGATAATTGTGGATTAATTAATCCTCCTAGAGAATTTGGTAGTCATGATGCCTTGCTAGAAACCAATTTTGATTTATCTATCAAAAGATAAAAGAGGTTTCTTTTATTTTTGATCCATTTTCAATATATCTAGAAGCCTATTGAGTCATATGCATAAGTTTAAGCATTCAAATAATAAAAAAGAAGCATAGATTTTGAAAAAAAATTAGTTTTGAAAAGTTTCCTATTTTGAAAAAAAATCCTAAAATGGAAAGTTGCCTATTTTAAAAATCAATTTTCTAATTTGGAAGTCAGTTTTAAATTTGGAAATAAGATACAAAAAAAAAGTTTCCTAATTGAGGTTTAAAGGTAATTTGGGAAATTGCTTCCTAATGTGAGCTTTCTAAAAAACATCTAACCTAATTTATTTGGATAGTCTAAATTCATTGGGCCAAAAGAGTTTGAGTTAATAGGTTTAATTTAAAAACTTATAAGATATTTTAGTGGGAGGATAAACTTGAGCCCTATTGGATAAGGCTCGGGGTTTACAAGGATAAGATTAAACAAGTTCACTCATATCGCAACTCATTGTCCTAAGATGACAAAGGATGTCGCTCCCTATATAAATAATAAGGAAAGAGGTGGCAAAGAGGGTAAGATTACCACACACACATGGCAAAAAGAGAAGAAGAAAAAAAAAGAGAGAAAGTGTTTGTCTCTCAAATGTCGAATTATCGTATCTCTCCTTAAAAAGCTCGAGTTATTGCAAAAACCCTAACCGATTTCTTTAGAAAGTAAATAAATTATACGAAGCATTGGAGCTAGCACTCTCTCGATTCATGTGGCTTCCTTTGTGGATGTTTAAGTTGAGTGGATTATCCATAGACACCAAATACTTAGACGGCCTTTTTTTCGTAAAGGCTAAATCTACTCTACAAGAAGTAATCTTTTACTCACGTTTTTAATTCATGTATGTATGATTAGTTAATTTAATGACTTGATCTTAGGAGCCTTATATAGAAGAAAATTTATTTTTTTTATTCTGCACCTCCATATGATATATGATCCTTTAATGTCGACTCGCCATGCCACCGAAAAAGGATAATAGAATTGGGCTCCAAGTGCTCAATGTTAAGTTTATATTAGAATCAAATTGATATGTAAAGATCACATATCATGTAAGACACTAATAGATAAATTAAAATAGACAATTAACCTCCACAAGGTCATTAGCTTGTTGATTTATTTTAAAATTATCACTATTT